GATAATAATGATTTACTGATGCAAGTCCTACTAATTAACCCATATCTGGGGGAGAAGAATTTGAGTCACATTTTTATTTGCACGTAAGTGAATATAACGCACCCGACTGGAACTGGAACTCGGCTTTCCACTCTTCAATTCCGAGCCGTTGTGCATTACACCGCCCGCACATCCATGCTTACAGCACCAGATATTTCCAAGCGGTCACCCATCTATGCACTGACCAGACAAGGTGTTGATCCTACGAGAACCGGTCTTTCACACGTTTCATTCTTTTAAACGAATTCTTCAGACCAATAATAATAGAAAGATATATAAGAAATGCCGATTACACTTTTAAATTTTGAAATACTGAAAGCACTGGACACTGAGATTTAAATTTGCATTTTCAAGATTTCGGCGTCTGATATACCCGGATGTATAACTTGGCCAACCTAAGTAAACTTTCTGTTGCTATGAAGATGTAAGTGTTTTTTTTTTTTAATTCAACTACAGCAATTAGTATACATTTATATATCATATCTTTATACTTACTTCATTAGAGCGGAAAATAACTACAGTAAAATATTTCACTTTAACTTAGATGGTGATCTTTTCGCGGTGAATATTGTTAAACAGAAAAATTATCAATCAAAAACACGATTTTCATTAGATTAGCTTCGATTCGGCTTTTATTTAACGAAGAAGCATCTTTGCTATTTAAATCCTTAATATTAAAATTCTAAGCAGTTAGAATTTAGCCCAATTACCATGAAATCCGCGCTCGAATCGCCCCATAATAATATCGACTTAGGTAATCCATCATAGCTTTCCTAAAAATAAAACCATGACTTGAAGCAAGTCGTTTAAATAAAGTTTTATAGAGGAAATTCTTCAGAAGCCGTCAAATGTTATCCTAGCATGAAGTCAAAAGTCATTATGACCGAATATTTGAGTTTTTCACCGACAGATCAAGTCTCATTTTGCGTATAAAATTTAGTTTATTTGGAATGTAAACCACAGTTTATTTCCGTAGGTGTCAAAGAAACAGAAATGTACCTGAGCGGGAGTCTGCAACAGGATATAGCGCATACTAAGAAACTAGCAGCCATTACTATTATTATGTTTACAAATTGCATACAAGTATAAATATATAAAAGATTATACTTGTCTTGAGAAAAAGGGTTGTAATGGTAATCAACGCGTCAAAACAAATGAAACGCAGTTAGTGTGAATAGCATGCAACTGAACGTGAGTAACATAATGGCGTGGTGCTGATCTTGAAATTTTCCGTTAGTTGATTAATTACGAAGAGGAATTAATCAAACCACTTAGTATAAATCCTACGGAATTCTCCAGTCATTCTGTTCATTTTCTCGGGCGGAATAATAATAATAATAATAATAATAATAATAATACTAATAATAATAAACAATCAAAGCTAATCACCCAGACATCGTAATTAGCAACCGCAAAGACAAAATTTACCTGCGTATTGACATGGCAGTCCTTGCAGACTGCAATGTATCTTTGAAGATCTTCGAAAAACTATCAAAATACAAGGACCTTGAAATCGAAATCTCAAAAATGTGGCACATGAGGACATTAACAATTGATATAAGCTGAAGAGAAAGATAATTAGAAAAGTTTATAGTAAGGAAGAAAAGGGAGGAGAATGAAAATTGTTTAAAAATATAAGAAAAACAGTTTTTAAAAAATATAATAATAATAATAATAGTGTTAGAGCTGAGCATGATTTCAGAAAAAGAAAAGAAAAGCTCAGTATTTAACAACGTTCAACAGTATTTCGATAGTGTGTCTCAAGTTATGTTTTAAACACTGGGTAGAAGTATCAATCTATAAAGCATCTACAAAAAATACAAGTCTTTGTACAATCGTCGCTTGTCTTGAGAAAAAGGGTTGTACTGGTAATCAACGCATCAAAATGAATGAAACGCTGCCAATGTGAATAGCATGCAACTGAAACTTGATTAACATAATAGCGAGCGTTCTGATCTTGAAATTTTCTGTTGATTAGTTACGAAGTGGGATTAATCAAACCGCTTAGTATAAATCCTACGAAATTCTCGCGTCATTTTGTTAATTCTTTCATGGAATTTCCTCCAGACATGTTTATATTTCTGAGATGAGGTATTGTTTTTATTTACATTGTTTACATTGTTCGAACTGTTGACTTCAAGGAGACATGGCCCAATGGATAAAAGCGTTGGTTGGTTCCAGTGACTTGACCCAAAGATTTTTGAGTTCAATACCTGGCTACTGCAGAGATGAACAAAAAGTTGGAGAACACAGCCGGAAGAGGTATGACATATGAAACTGGGCGAGTTAAATGGTTTATTTCGAAATTCACATCATCTGATGAAGGATGGTGCGTACACCTGCCGAAATGTCGGGAATATGGCAATAAAGATGAGAACAAGTTTTTATTTATCAGGATAAACAGGTTCCGACAATTATTAAAACTGAGCGTACAAAAAGCACGTCCCACAAATCTTTACTTTTTAATCTTTTTACCTAAAAAAAATTGGAAATTGCCAGTTCTGATTTAATTAAAAAGTTATACTGTTGTCTAAACTTATTTACTTTAAATACAAGCTCATAAACGTATAGTTCTGGGTGTTATTTAATATTCTACGATTTAAATTCATTTATATTAAGACAGTTGACTCTAACGGAAACGATTTAATTTGGATTTTTCAAAATCCACGTCATTTTTATTTCCGGGCATTAATCTTAAAAATGAAAATATATTCTTACACTGAACAGTGATTGTTACTGATAAAACCTGGAATTTTATAAATATCAATTCATTAGGATTTATGTCTACTGCAAATCATTAAATCAGCCTAGTTTTATATGAATTGAAAGGCGAGGAAACGATGAAAATTGGGATTCAATTCCACCCCAAATCCACACATTAACCATCAAAAAGTTTCGATTTTCCTTTGAATTTTCTCTGAAAATTAAAAACGACCTTACGATAGTAGTTTAATATGATTTTATTCGTTACTTAAAATAAGCAATGAAAAGCATTTTAATTCGAGTTCTGATTCAATTAAAAGTTTCAATCGATTTATTTACTTATTTATCCTTCATATAACTTGATTAGATTCCCAGTGAACTTATTTATCTTCATATTATAATCCTTTTTGGTGGTGACATGTTTTTGGTGTCGGTTTTCACGTTAAATTATCGTCAAGATCGATTTCTTTTTCACCAAGATCAAAGAGCGTCTTCAAGCTCAATTTAATATTGAATTTTTTTTTCAAATTCAATTTTTAATCTCGTTACAAATATACGACGGATATTTGCTTGCCTGGTCACGTTTCAAGACGATACATGATAAATCCAAACGCAGAAATTTAATTGCTGACTTAAAATTGATTTAAATTTGGATGAGAACATGCGAAATAGTAAAAATGTATGACAATATAAACTTTCTAAGTTGTCATATAACTACAGTATTTCAGTTCTATTCAAATTTTGGGTAAAGGAATAATCTTTTTCTTTATTTTGGATCTATTTTATAAGTTGCTTGGGTGATTTTACCACATTTTACCATGCCGTTTGAAAAGTGATTTTTTAAGGTTTCCTTGGCGCTTTTTTTTAATCCTTTTCCTATTTTCTGGGTGTAACGAACATTTGTGACCTACTGTCAACTTGGCTATTATTATTATAATGTTAGATGCTAAGATCTGAATCGATATTATTCCTATGTATATACGCAGGGGATTGATTTGTTTCTTGTTGTTCTTTATTAGAAATCATTCGGCTGAAGATTTGGGCTCTAAATTCAGGTGAAATGTTGTTGTTTATTTAAGGTGGCGGCTTTCTTCCAGAAAGGAAATTCGAGTAAGGTACATCAATCGAAAAAAAATCAGGCATTGATTAAATTCAGTTTTAAACTCGTAAAAAAAAAAAACAACAAAAAAAAAACTTTCTTTATACATTGACATTCCTAAAAGCTTTCTGAAACCACAGCATTTATCAGAATCGAAAAATATTGATCTTTTATCCTTTTAGTATAGTATTTAGTTTAAAGAATGTAATTTATTAACAATTCTAAGTTGAATCTTATGAAGTTTTATTTAACTTATTCAGCGTTAGTGCTGAAAAACGTTTATTTTATTGTGATGGATGGTTATAAGCGAGAGGGGAGATGGGATGTGTTTATTTTATTACCAGTTGTTGGTATTTTGATTTCATTTACTAATCCCAAATATGAATTTGGGCTTACGACATTGATAATTGTGAACTACTGATAATGATTTTTCTCCCATTTCATAAGAGGACAGAGTACAAGTTCAAATTTGACATTTTAAATAAAAACAAAGTACAAATCACATTTTATGAAGTCGTGGATCGATTTGTGTCTATATTTATAATATGAAAACTAAATGGTACATTTGCAGATTAAGCCACGGAAAACAAGTGTAATGAAAATTTCCACTTTGGTTTAAATTTGGATGCTTATTTCGAAAATAACAGTTAATTTTTGTGTAAATGCTCTTTTTAAGGCATGCCTACTAGAGACAAACGTGTTAACAAAACCAGTAATGGCTGCCGGGCTGTAACGGCGACGCGAATGAGGCTAAACTTATATTGTCGATAACCCCTAAACGGTATATTTCCGCAAATAATTATTATTTTCGAAATAAGCATGCAAATTTACACCAAAAGGGAATTTTTCACTAGAATTGGTTTCCGGGGTTTAATTTTCAAATTTACCAACGAAATTGACAAAAAAAAATATGATACGGCATATCAGCCTTTTGCAGGTTGTTTAAAACCAGAAAATATTTTTAGATTATAAGAATTTGAGATGTTAACGATTTTAATGATACACGTTCTTATAATTAACACATAGCTGGCGGGTAGGTGTGGATTCATACATTCCTCAAGAGTCTTTGTGCCTAAGTGAATATATCGAACCCAACTGGAATTGGAACTCGGCTCTCTGATTTCCAATTTGTTACCCATTACACCAGCTACACATCCAAGCATGCAGCACCTGGTATTCCCAAGCAGTCACCCATGTAGGTACTGTACAGGCCTCAATTTTGCTTAACTTCTGTGATCGCACGAAAACTGGTGTTTCAAGGTAATATGGTCGTAAGTCCCTTATGGGTGTAGTAATGTCTACTGAATTCTTATCTAGATATTTTTTGCTATTTCTCACGACCGTAACAGTTAATTTAATTTGTGCTGAAAAAAGCTTAACACATAGTAAGCATTCTATCCGATTTTAGAGTAAAAACAAATGAGACGACTTGTTTATAGCAAAGCAAAAAGTCAATAATAATAATAATAAGGGCTTCTAGGATTTTGAGTCTTTTCTTGCAGTGAGTGTTCTAGAATATTTTTTAGTACAGAAAATATAACAATCCCGATAAATACCTTATGTTTATCATTTACGATAAAAAGTTCAGAAGATCTAAACTAATTATTCATTCGAAGCTGCAAAAATCCTCCTATATAAAAACATTATTCGTAATAAAATAAACATCAAATTCGGCGATTGGATACATTTCTATTAACTCTGTCGTAGCTTGACTTTTCACTTTTCGAAAGACGATCGTCGCATTTCGAACAACCAAAAATCAATATGACAAATAATACAGAATTTATATTTAAGCATTTTATAAAAACAATATGAATAAGAATAACACTAACAATAAGCTACATAGATAGCTATCAAGTGAGTGAGATAGATAGATAGATAGATAGATAGATAGATAGATTCATACATACATACATACATACATAATGACTGCCCACTCGGACGCGGACGGCCAGTAACAGGTTATAAATCTAATGTTTCTTGCACGATTGTTTAAGCATAGCCTGCAAATTTTCGCACCTAGCTTGGGAAACTCATGATCAAATAATAATCAGCCAGGGTAAGCAGAGATTATTGGTGCTGTGTATGAGTAGTTGATATTAAGACTCTGGCAAGATCTCTAATGTCCCAATCATAACATTTGCTATCCCAAAAGGTATTGTTCCGTCATCTAAGTAGTGACCAGTCGCCGAAACATCCTGAACATATCCAAGAAAAAGCGGTTTCTTCAGGGTTTAACATCTTTATATCTCCAAAGCTCTACTATATTTGAACACTTTCTTGGCAACGTGAACTATAGTCAACCTTGCAGAATATCTCCTGATATACTCTTCAGCTTTTAGCGTCTTTTCGTTGTGACATTTCTCAACAACAGCATAACAAAAATAATTAATAATAAATCTCTGCATATATCTTGTTGCTATAATTGTGTTTGAAGTGACGTATGTTTATTTTTTGTGGGGAGGCACTCGTTGCGTGATTCTTAATGGCGCGGAAACTGGGATCTGCATTTTGAGTTCAAATTCCAGCTGAGGTTGTTGCGTCGGCTTTTGCACAGAATACTAACCAAACGCTTCTACCCATCCCCGTCAGTGACGACATACTGGCCTTTGGGTCTGGTTAATAATTTACTACTCTGAATTCAAAACCGGTTGGGTATGGGGCTAGCAACTCCACCCTGTAAAACATACTTGCTTCGCAAACAACAACAACGGCAACAGCTAGTGTGGTGAGGCTGAGACCTTATTTTCCACAGGGTGTCTTTATGATTAACTTACATACATAATTCTCTTACCGACAGGATTAGCCGAAAATGTTACTTCATATATATATTTATGTATTCTAAGTCACGATGTACTACTTTTATAAAGTCTACATAAGGTACTTCGAATGAAGCTATACATTCATAGATAAAAAGTTATTGTTAGAAAATATGTTTACATATACTTCTTCACCATAATTACACATTTTTCTTTGTGGTATTAGTAGTTAAGGCGTTTTCCTATTTTAAATCAAAGTTCGCCATATTCTGCTTCTTTTCTCGTAGATTCTGTTAGCAACATCCAAATTTTCTTGCTTTTTAATTAATTTTTCTCGCTTATTACCATTTTAATTTACTCTAAATCTCTTTTTGCGATATTCTTAAAGCCACGTGTTGTAGTCCTTATTTTCCTAATATTCCAATTTCTCTTTTAATTGTTCTTTGCACTCTTTTTCGAAATTTACATTTTGCTATTCCCATCAATCAATCAATACCGTTCCAATATCTTTTCGAAGTTAGACATATCTTAAGATCCATAACAATTTTTATATGAATTTATTGAAGAAATAATTATCAATAGCAATAAATTTATATAATTGTATATACAATATGACTCAAGCAGTATAATAATGTTTCACAAAAGCAAATAATTTATCATAAACACTGAGCTAAAATATACAGAGTTAATAGCAGAAATATAAAGGAACTACATTAATTCCTACAGAAGGTAGTGAAGGAAAGCGAGAAGAAAGGATTAAGCATCATTTTCAAGATGACAGAATAAATGACTCTCAGGCCTACATGCAAATTACAAATTAGTGAAACTAAAATCAAAAAAGTAGACAATTCAACTGGAAATTGTTTTACAGAAGATGAAAAGTACGAGACGGAAATCCGAATGTTAATGAGATAGCGAAATATATCTTCGAAAAGCTAAGCAAAGTATTAAGAAACAGGGAAATTTTTAAGAAACAAAGAAAAGTGTACTGAATTGGTACGTAATTCCAGTACGTA